AAAGCTCCTCTTTGCATTCTTTAAGCACCCTGGCAAACACTTCATCCGGCCCTGGGGATTTGTTTGGTTTGAGTTTTTCTAATTGTTTAATTACATCCTCCCTGGTAACTGCTAAACTAGTCAACCACTACACACTTGACCAGACCACACACTACAAGGTGAAGGGACGACGACGTTTCGGTCCGTCCTGGACCGTCCGACGACCATTTTCGGTCCAGGACGGACCGAAACGTCGTCGTCCCTTCACCTTCTAGTGTGTGGTCTGGTCAACATACTTTAGCCACGTTATTGTGACTCCTCGCCTGCACATGTATTTCATTATCTCAAATGGAATGACCTTGGGGGGTGTTCAAGTTCAGGTTCAAGTAAGTTTATTGAGAAAAGGAAGTTACCTGGTTGATACCTGGTACCTGATTGATGGGGTTCTGGGAGTTCTTCTACTCCCCAAGCCCGGCCCGAGGCCAGGCTTGACTTGTGAGAGTTTGGTCCACCAGGCTGTTGCTTGGAGCGGCCCGCAGGCCCACATATACCTGGTTGATGGGGTTCTGGGAGTTCTTCTACTGTCCAAGCCCGGCCCGAGGCCAGGCTTGACTTGTGAGAGTTTGGTCCACCAGGCTGTTGCTTGGAGCGGCCCGCAGGCCCACATATACCTGGTTGATGGGGTTCTGGGAGTTCTTCTACTGTCCAAGCCCGGCCCGAGGCCAGGCTTGACTTGTGAGAGTTTGGTCCACCAGGCTGTTGCTTGGAGCGGCCCGCAGGCCCACATACCCACCACAACCCGGTTGGTCCTGCTACTCTAGCCTCTTGTGATTACATCTCAAAAGGATAGAGTAGCTTAGGCTGTTTCTAACCTCGTCCATATAAGATTCCTCAAGGGGCTCACAAACCTATACAGTACAGTTATTAATCATATTCTATATTTAACAATTCTAATGGTAGTCACGTGACATACTGTGAGATCTCTTATTGATTATGCTGCCACTGTCATGTCTTGTGTTGGTAAAGAGAGACTAAACATGTTGGAGAAGGTACAACATGAAACAATGAGAATAATCCCAAGATTATTATCATGGCCCAAGATATACTAACACTGAGATAATGATTATAGAATTAAACTTACCGAGTATTGGGGATAGATTTTCAGATAAATGAAGCCTCGGCGATTAGACTAATGAGAGGCGAGGGAGCTAATGAATTAATCCTCTCACTTCAAAACCTGGGAAGAAATGTATAATACATGTGAAAGCATAATAAGATGTTCTAATGTTACAAAACATGATGACTTTCATGAATGTCCTTAGTTTCCTACTGGCACTAGGCTATCCTTAGTTTCCTACTGTCACTAGGCTATCCTTAGTTTCCTACTGCCACTAGGCTATCCTTAGTTTCCTACTGTCACTAGGCTATCCTTAGTTTCCTACTGCCACTAGGCTATCCTTAGTTTCCTACTGCCACTAGACTATCCTTAGTTTCCTACTGGCACTAGGCTATCCTTAGTTTCCTACTGGCACTAGGCTATCCTTAGTTTCCTACTGCCACTAGACTATCCTTAGTTTCCTACTGTCACTAGACTATCCTTAGTTTCCTACTGCCACTAGACTATCCTTAGTTTCCTACTGCCACTAGACTATCCTTAGTTTCCTACTGGCACTAGGCTATCCTTAGTTTGCCAAATTAACAATTAACACCATCATGAGAGGAATACAAAGTAGATGCAGTAATTTTCCCTCAATGTTCCAACACACAGAACTTGGCTGCGGTTTACCAATTCATTGATAATAGACACATCACCTTGTCCACACATTCTACACATTTTAAGTCACTGAGAACCAATATCTCCTTAGCCAGAGACTCCCAACATTTTGACATTTCTTCTTGCTCAGCACTAGTACACGCCCTACTATCATCAAGTGTAACTCTATTCTTAACAATGTCTTTCAACTATTTTTCTTAGGCTATCCTTAGTTTCCTACTGCCACTAGGCTATCCTTAGTTTCCTACTGCCACTAGGCTATCCTTAGTTTCCTACTGTCACTAGGCTATCCTTAGTTTCCTACTGTCACTAGGCTATCCTTAGTTTCCTACTGCCACTAGGCTATCCTTAGTTTCCTACTGCCACTAGGCTATCCTTAGTTTCCTACTGGCACTAGGCTATCCTTAGTTTCCTACTGGCACTAGGCTATCCTTAGTTTCCTACTGTCACTAGGCTATCCTTAGTTTCCTACTGGCACTAGGCTATCCTTAGTTTCCTACTGCCACTAGGCTATCCTTAGTTTCCTACTGGCACTAGGCTATCCTTAGTTTCCTACTGGCACTAGGCTATCCTTAGTTTCCTACTGGCACTAGGCTATCCTTAGTTTCCTACTGCCACTAGGCTATCCTTAGTTTCCTACTGCCACTAGGGTATCCTTAGTTTCCTACTGTCACTAGGCTATCCTCAGTTTCCTACTGCCACTAGACTATCCTTAGTTTCCTACTGCCACTAGGCTATCCTTAGTTTCCTACTGGCACTAGGCTATCCTTAGTTTCCTACTGTCACTAGGCTATCCTTAGTTTCCTACTGTCACTAGGCTATCCTTAGTTTCCTACTGTCACTAGGCTATCCTTAGTTTCCTACTGCCACTAGGCTATCCTTAGTTTCCTACTGCCACTAGACTATCCTTAGTTTCCTACTGGCACTAGGCTATCCTTAGTTTCCTACTGTCACTAGGCTATCCTTAGTTTCCTACTGCCACTAGGCTATCCTTAGTTTCCTACTGCCACTAGGCTATCCTTAGTTTCCTACTGGCACTAGGCTATCCTTAGTTTCCTACTGGCACTAGGCTATCCTTAGTTTCCTACTGCCACGAGGCTATCCTTAGTTTCCTACTGGCACTAGGCTATCCTTAGTTTCCTACTGGCACTAGGCTATCCTTAGTTTCCTACTGCCACTAGACTATCCTTAGTTTCCTACTGGCACTAGGCTATCCTTAGTTTCCTACTGGCTATCCTTAGTTTCCTACTGGCTATCCTTAGTTTCCTACTGGCACTAGGCTATCCTTAGTTTCCTACTGGCACTAGGCTATCCTTAGTTTCCTACTACCACTAGGCTATCCTTAGTTTCCTACTGCCACTAGGCTATCCTTAGTTTCCTACTGCCACTAGGCTATCCTTAGTTTCCTACTGCCACTAGGCTATCCTTAGTTTCCTACTGTCACTAGGCTATCCTTAGTTTCCTACTGGCACTAGGCTATCCTTAGTTTCCTACTGCCACTAGGCTATCCTTAGTTTCCTACTGGCACTAGGCTATCCTTAGTTTCCTACTGGCACTAGGCTATCCTTAATGGTCGCCGAGCCTTTCTCCCAAACGTAGTTCACAGAGACAATTGTTGTCTTTCCAGTGTTTCTTCCTTGTTCCTGCTGTAGGATCTTGCCTTCCTTCAGAGCCTCGTTTACCCTGCTTACGGTTACCGTCTTGGAGTCTCTCACACGGGGCTTCATGGGACATGGAGAGCAACCACCATTGTGGCTGCCTCCACAATTGCAGCGAGATGGCAACAAATGTTCTCCTTTGTCAATCCTGACTCTACACTGTCGCGAGTCATGTTTCTTACCACAATACCGACATCTGGGGACAAATTGACATTTCCATATGTCCCTAGCGAGCACACTTCATGCATGAATGTAGACCACTCTATTTTGCTACTTGCCTGTTGTATCCAAGTCCTTGCACAAAAATTCTTTCTGGCGCCTCGCCCTTTATCAAGGCAACACTCTGGCTTTGTTTTTCACCACGAACACTGTTCCTGTGCAACCCGTTCTCGCAAATTTAATAAGTCAATATTGACTTATTAAATATGTGCATAGGTGACATACTTAACATAATAGTTTCCCTTGAAAAGCTTCATAGAAAACACCGACCTTACCTAACCTACTTAGTATGTTAAAATAAGCATCTTATAGCTTCGTAATTACAATTGTTACTTAACCTATTATAGGTATAGGTTAGGTAATAATTGTAATTACGAAGCAATAAGATGCTTATCTTAACATACTAAGTAGGTTAGGTAAGGTCGGTGTTTTCTATGAAGCTTTTCAAGGGAAACTATTATGTTAAGTATGTCACCTATGCACATATTTAATAAGTCAATATTGACTTATTAAATTTGCGAGAACGGGTTGTCCTGTTAGCTCACACAACACCTTCATTGTTGAGAAGAAAATCAGGATCCAAATAAGTTGGATATTTAAGAACTATGACCTTGGTGTAAATCACACCTGCTTCTGGAGTAATCAACACAATATTCTTAAACCCAAATGTCGTTAGGTGTTCCACGGCCTCGTCTCTCCTCTGTTACGTAGAGCCGATTAAGATTAAGCCAACACATTGCATACTCATTATTAAAAGTAAGGCTGACAAGTTCCTGGATACTTAGAGATATATAGCGAAGGTATACCCCCAGTTCTCTGTATGCATACAGTGAGTATACTCTTCTCTTGGACTGTGGCCAGAGATTAAGTATACTTACTGATTGGTCAGAAGGTATTGTGGTATGCTTAATAACTCTCCCACGGTTGATTGGTCGTATGAAGCGTCCAGCAATAGACTGGACGTTCAGAGGCAGACCCAAGGTTTGATATTCAACCTCCACAAGCACAATTAGTACTCAAGTACAGCGACCACTTAGCAGGAATTACTATGTTGAGTCATACAGGATATCCCGGGCCGGTTGTGTGAGCAGGGCTGTTCCTTGTGAGACAGTGATAATGGTCTAATCACTTTACGCTTGTTCGGCGCCAACATTACCGAGGCCGCAGGCGCACACTAAGCCTATGGAAAGGTAATTTATTTCTATCTTATTCTAGCCTAGTACCGCCATGGAAAGCCAGGATGCAGCCTCACCGTTGGGGGGAGGGAAAAACTTACTGCGGTGTGACCCTGGAGGCCGACATTACGTCAACACATCTTTCCTGCGTGAAGGTGTGGGCGATGACGCGGCAGTGACGTAGTAGTGACGTGTCGGCGGGTGATTGGCTGAGCGCAAGGTCTTGCCAGGGGTCGGCCGGGCGGCTGTGGCTGGCCTGGCAGAACACGTCCACCGCCCGGCGCAGCCACACGCGTTTTCCTTGTCTTGTGAGTGGTGTAGTTTGCTGTCTCAAGGAGGCCCTTGGCCCGTCTTATAAACTTCCTGAACACAAGGAAGTGCAGAAAAGTGTGTATGTGTATACGAAGTGATTGTGACGGAGTATGGATCCCTGTACACGCGTGTGATGTGAAATATTTGAATAGTTGTGTACCTACAATTGTGATTTTTGTAAAGTTACTTAATATTAAGACTTCGGCCTTGATGTAGAGACTGGAGACAGTGGCAGAGTCTTGGGAGACGCAACATGGCTCATAGCGAGGCCAAGTCTGCATTGGATGTGATTATTTCATGTCCTGAGTTAAATATATATTGAAGGACTGTGGTACACTTAGTTGGAAGGTTTGTATGTGTAGCGGGACGGTACGGGGTGGGGGAGGTACGGTACGGGGTGGGGGGAGGTACGGTACGCCTGGGCCATGGCGGTACGGGGTGGGGGGAGGTACGGTACGCCTGGGCCATGGCGGTACGGGATGTGGAGGTACGGGGTGGGGAGGTACGGTACGCCTGGGCCATGGCGGTACGGGGTGGGGGAGGTACGGTACGCTTGGGCCATGGCGGTACGGGATGTGGAGGTACGGGGTGGGGAGGTACGGTACGGGGTGGGGAGAGGTACGGTACGGGGTGGGGAGAGGTACGGTACGGGGTGGGGAGAGGTACGGTACGCGGTGGGGGGAGGTACGGTACGGGGTGGGGGAGGTACGGTACGGGGTGGGGAGAGGTACGGTACGGGGTGGGGAGAGGTACGGTACGGGGTGGGGAGAGGTACGGTACGGGGTGGGGAGAGGTACGGTACGCGGTGGGGGGAGGTACGGTACGCGGTGGGGGGAGGTACGGTACGGGGTGGGGGAGGTACGGTACGGGGTGGGGGGAGGTACGGTACGCGGTGGGGGGAGGTACGGTACGCGGTGGGGGAGGTACGGTACGCCTGGGCCATGGCGGTACGGGATGTGGAGGTACGGTACGCCTGGGCCATGGCGGTACGGGGTGGGGGAGGTACGGTACGCCTGGGCCATGGCGGTACGGGGTGGGGGAGGTACGGTACGCTTGGGCCATGGCGGTACGGGATGTGGAGGTACGGGGTGGGGAGGTACGGTACGCCTGGGCCATGGCGGTACGGGGTGGGGAGGTACGGTACGTCTGGGCCATGGCGGTACGGGGTGGGGAGGTACGGTACGCCTGGGCCATGGCGGTACGGGGTAGGGGAGGTACGGTACGCTTGGGCCATGGCGGTACGGGATGTGGAGGTACGGTACGCCTGGGCCCCGGCGGTACGGGGTGGGGAGGTACGGTACGCCTGGGCCATGGCGGTACGGGCTAGGGGAGGTACGGTACGCTTGGGCCATGGCGGTACGGGGTAGGGGAGGTACGGTACGCTTGGGCCATGGCGGTACGGGCTGGGGGGAGGTACGGTACGCCTGGGCCCCGGCGGTACGGGATGTGGAGGTACGGTACGCCTGGGCCCCGGCGGTACAGGATTTGCTTGTAACCTGTTGATAACGCTGGCGGGATATTATTCCTTTGCATGGTGTGACCAACAGGCAGTCCCGTGCGTGAGGTAAAGCCCCTCGCTCTTAACTTACACTGAACTATATAACATTAACATTAAATCATGGAACCTGGGCTCAGTTTGTGAGGAATTTTGTGGCATTTGCAAGGCAACAGTGTTGTTAATGTATCAGTGTATCGTATGTGTTAGTTACAAGGTGAAGCTAATTTACAAGGATAGTTTAAAAGGGGGAAAGTTTCATACATTTCCTGAGTATTTTTATACGGGAAAACCTATTTTGTAATTGGTGTTGGAGCACAAAAACTAGTCCTGGCCGCCAGGAATACGGCGCCTGGCTTGGGGCTGTAGCCCGTGTACGCCAGCCTGGGCCCTCCACACACTGGGGGGCCCGTGTACGCCAGCCTGGGCCCTCCACACACTGGGGGCCCGTGTACGCCAGCCTGGGCCCTCCACACACTGTGGGCCCGTGTACGCCAGCCTGGGCCCTCCACACACTGGGGGCCCGTGTACGCCAGCCTGGGCCCTCCACACAGTGGGGGCCCGTGTACGCCAGCCTGGGCCCTCCACACACTGGGGGGGCCCGTGTACTCCAGCCTGGGCCCTCCACACACTGGGGGCCCGTGTACGCCAGCCTGGGCCCTCCACACACTGGGGGCCCGTGTACGCCAGCCTGGGCCCTCCACACAGTGGGGGCCCGTGTACGCCAGCCTCGGCCCTCCACACACTGGGGGGCCCGTGTACGCCAGCCTGGGCCCTCCACACACTGAGGGCCCGTGTACGCCAGCCTGGGCCCTCCACACACTGGGGGCCCGTGTACGCCAGCCTGGGCCCTCCACACACTGGGGCCCGTGTACGCCAGCCTGGGCCCTCCACACAGTGGGGGCCCGTGTACTCCAGCCTGGGCCCTCCACACACTGGGGAGCCCGTGTACGCCAGCCTGGGCCCTCCACACACTGGGGGCCCGTGTACGCCAGCCTGGGCCCTCCACACACTGGGGGGGCCGTGTACGCCAGCCTGGGCCCTCCACACACTGGGGGGGCCCGTGTACGCCAGCCTGGGCCCTCCACACACTGGGGGCCCGTGTACGCCAGCCTGGGCCCTCCACACACTGGGGGCCCGTGTACGCCAGCCTGGGCCCTCCACACACTGGGGGCCCGTGTACTCCAGCCTGGGCCCTCCACACAGTGGGGGCCCGTGTACGCCAGCCTGGGCCCTCCACACACTGGGGGGCCCGTGTACGCCAGCCTCGGCCCTCCACACACTGGGGGGCCCGTGTACGTCAGCCTGGGCCCTCCACACACTGGGGGCCCGTGTACTCCAGCCTGGGCCCTCCACACACTGGGGGCCCGTGTACGCCAGCCTGGGCCCTCCACACACTGGGGGCCCGTGTACTCCAGCCTGGGCCCTCCACACACTTGGGGGGGCCCGTGTACACCAGCCTGGGCCCTCCACACACTGGGGGCCCGTGTACTCCAGCCTGAGCCCTCCACACACTGGGGGGGCCCGTGTACTCCAGCCTGAGCCCTCCACACACTGGGGGGGCCCGTGTACTCCAGCCTGGGCCCTCCACACACTGGGGGCCCGTGTACGCCAGCCTGGGCCCGCCACACACTGGGGGCCCGTGTACACCAGCCTGGGCCCTCCACACACTGGGGGGGGGCCGTGTACTGGAGCCAGGGCCCGCCACACACACTGGGGGGGGCCCGTGTACTCCAGCCTGGGCCCTCCACACAGTGGGCCCGTGTACGCCAGCCTGGGCCCTCCACACACTGGGGGGCCCGTGTACGCCAGCCTGGGCCCTCCACACACTGGGGGGCCCGTGTACACCAGCCTGGGCCCTCCACACAGTGGGCCCGTGTACGCCAGCCTGGGCCCTCCACACACTGGGGGGCCCGTGTACGCCAGCCTGGGCCCTCCACAGTGGGCCCGTGTACGCCAGCCTGGGCCCTCCACACAGTGGGCCCGTGTACACCAGCCTGGGCCCTCCACACACTGGGGGGGTGCCCGTGTACTCCAGCCTGGGGCCCTCCACACTGGAGGCCCGTGTACTCCAGCCTGGGGCCCGCCACACACTGGGGGCCCGTGTACTGGAGCCAGGGCCCGCCACACACACTGGGGGGGGGCCCGTGTACTGGAGCCAGGGCCCGCCACACACACTGGGGGGGGGCCCGTGTACTGGAGCCAGGGCCCGCCACACACACTGGGGGGGGCCCGTGTACTGGAGCCAGGGCCCGCCACACACACTGGGGGGGGGGGGCCGTGTACTGGAGCCAGGGCCCGCCACACACACTGGGGGGGGGGGGCCCCGTGTACTGGAGCCAGGGCCCGCCACGCACTGGGAAGCAGTGTTACGTGGTGGGGCCAAGGTTCCCGTGGTGGTTGTGCTGGCGGGACATTCCTTTTCTCCCAGCGGCCCTCTGTACCAAGGACACTCATACCATTGATTACCTGGTAGTGTGGTCGGAGTTTGCGCTATTGTCAATTTCCACAAGATACATGTTAGCTCTGTAATTACTTTCGGTTTGCTAACTCTTTTTTTGAAGACTTCAGTGGGTGTTGTGGTGGGGGAATTATCATCCAAGAGCCAGATTAACGAAAGCACTTACGAACCTGTACATCTTTTCTCAATCTTTGGCGGCTTTGTTTACAATTGTTAAACAGTTGATGAGCTCCGAAGCACCAGGAGGATGTTTGTAACAATAACAGTTGATTGGCAAGTTTTCATGGTTGTAAACTGTTTAATAAATGTAACCAAAGCCGTCAAAGATTGAGGAAAGATGTACACGTTCGTAAGTGCTAAGGTAAGCGCTTTCGTGAATCTGGCCCCTGGATATTAAGTGAACCAAACCGGTACTCTAGTTTGCTACCTGTCCCCGTGACATTTCTGATGGGTATGAATGCAAGAAAGGTTTGTTGTGATTGATTGATTGATTAAGCCATTCAAAAGGTGGCACGGGCATGAATAGCCCGTAAGTGGTGGCCCTGTGGAGCCATTACCAGTATCAAGAGCTGATACTGGAGATCTGTGGAGGGGTTGTGGTGACTGATTTACTACCTTTACCGTCCTTGGGAAGTAGTGTAATTACGAGCAGTTGCTAACAGTAGCACACATTAACGCCACCTTACGTCATCTTGGCAGTAAGTAAAGCCAACCCAACCTTATCCAAATTTATCTTATCCTAACCAAAACGTTGTGTATACTTGTGGAATGCACAAGGCGTGACGTCACTTGCGTCATTTTTCTACCGGTTGTGGCTTGGTTCTGGTGCTCTATATACCTCTGGTAGCAGGTGTCGCAGCAGGTGTTGTCGCAGGTGTCGTCGCAGCAGGTGTCGCAGGTGAGTGTACAGCAGCAGCAGCAGCCTGTGCTCCGGGGGTGGCAGGGAGGAGGTAGCGCCATATAAGCACGAGGCTAGGGGTTGAAAGTGGGGTTTTTATTGCAGTTGAAAGTACTCCAATGTAAATTTGTATTATTTTTTG